TGAAGTTCAACAGGCCCTTCCTGTTCGCCATCCTCTCCGAGGACACCCAGAGCATCCTCTTCTGCGGCAAAGTGGCCAACCCCAGCGCAGCCTAGAGCTCCCTCCTCCTCGTGCCCTGGCCGTGGAGGGCGCCTGTCTCCGGGGGCAGCCTGGCCCTGTGCACAGGGAGCTGGTGGGCCTCGCCCTGCCTGCTCCCTCCTGGGGGAGCGCCCGTGACTGCTGGTGGCTCCCACACGTGCCTCCGAGGCTCTGTGCCCTCCGACAGCAATAAACCAGGGGCCTCGGCTCGGCGTGTCCCTGTGCCTTTCCGGGATCTGCCTGACCCCACGCGCCTCAGGAGTCAGCGTGACGCTCATGTCCGCGAGAATCCCACGGGCCTCCGTGAAGTTCAACAGGCCCTTCCTGTTCGCCATCCTCTCCGAGGACACCCAGAGCATCCTCTTCTGCGGCAAAGTGGCCAACCCCAGCGCAGCCTAGAGCTCCCTCCCCCTCGTGCCCTGGCCGTGGAGGGCGCCTGTCTCCGGGGGCAGCCTGGCCCTGTGCACAGGGAGCTGGTGGGCCTCGCCCTGCCTGCTCCCTCCTGGGGGAGCGCCCGTGACTGCTGGTGGCTCCCACACGTGCCTCCGAGGCTCTGTGACCTCCGACAGCAATAAACCAGGGGCCTCGGCTCGGTGTGTCCCTGTGCCTTTCCGGGATCTGCCTGACCCCACGCGCTGTGGCCGCCCGCAGTGAGAGTCCTTTCCCTCGGGATTTTCCCTGGTGAAACGGGGTGACAGGTCTTGGCTACTGCGCAGTGCCCAGCAGAGCAGGTAAGAGGTGCTAGGCAGTAACCATGGCTACGGGCGACTGTGATGAAGACACACTAAGAGAGCGGTCGCCAACCGGTGCTCCGCAGACCCCTGGTGGTCCCTGAGATTCGAAAGGTTGGCGACCGCTGCTCTGAGAGATGGGAGAACCCGGGGACCCCAGGCTCCCAAGTAGGCTCCGCCCCCTGCCAGGCTCTGGGCTCTGCCTTCCCCTGCAGCAGCCCGGCCTGGACAAGCCAACCTGGACCTCAGGCCCAGGACAAGGAGGGACCTGCTGCCCGGTGTCGCCTCCCGAAGGCTCGCTGGTCCCAGTCCCAGTGTCACTCTCCCTCCCCAAGGTCTGCCCACGTGGCCACCCTGTGGGGGCTCCAGACCTGACCTCACCTGGCACAGCCGGACCCCTGGCTCCTGCAGCCGAGCCGGGCCTTCCTCGTCCTAGAATCTCCCACTCAGCCCCCCAGCACCCCGACCCGGGGAGAGCGGCCTGGTTTCAGAAGCGAGGTCCTGAGCCCTGCCCCCGCCAGAGGGCCCCCTGGCAACCAGAGCGAAGGTCGGGGAGCAGCGGAGCATGAGCACCCACAGCAGTAAAAGCCATCACCCCGTCACGGTGCGGGGAGGGCTGAAGCTCTGGGCCCCAGGGGTCACCAGGCATCGTGACGAGGCCACCAACATCGAACACGGGCTTGAGATCCAGCTGCCAGGCCTCACCCAGCCCTGTGAGGGCCTGGGAAGCAGATGCTGCTCTTGCTCCCATTGTATGGATGAGAGGACTGAGGAGCAGCGGCTCAGAGAGCTCCCCCAGGCCACACAGCGGTGATGAGGGCGGGCAGGATGCTCTCCCAGCTTGCTCGGCGTCACATAAACACTCTAAACCACAAAGCGATTCTGCCCTGAACGATTTCCACAGTGACGGCTCTCCCGGGACTCGGACTGTGATGGGCAAGACAGGTGGTGAGACAAGACTCTGGAAGCTGGGACTCGAGAGCAACCAACTCCACTGGGGAAGCCAGGGAAGGCTCCCTGGAGGAGGTGGCATCCGCCCTGCGATCAGAGGGAGAGTAGAGGATGGGTAAGTGAACAGCGAGGAGAATGTTCCAGGCAAGAGAAAGAGTGATGGGAGGATTTTCAAGAAACCAAAAGAATTGGGCAGGCCTGGAGCAGGGACGGATGGAGGGCTGAGGGGCGGCAGGGGCCACCGTGGAGCCGCTGGGCGCTCAGGGCCGGGCAGCTCAGTGAGGATGCTGGCATGGCTTCTCAGAGCCACAGGCAGCTTTTACAGAGTTCAGACAGAGAGTGGGAGTGAGCAGATTTGCGTCTGAGAAAGAGGCTGCGGCTGCTGCGTGGAAGGGTCCGGGGCCGGGACTGGGCTGTGGGCTGCACTGAGGCAGAGATGAGGCCGCTGCCGAGGGAGACGGGACGCTCCAAGGCTGTGGGGAGCCGGTGTGAGGCGTGAGGGGAGGAAGGAGGAAAACGCATGTGGGTGTGGCTTCTGGTGAAGACAGCTTCCCTGAGACGGACCCGGGAGCAGCCTGCGGAGGGAAGTGACATGTCAGGTCTGGACACAGCCGCGCCCTCAGTTCCTGGGAGACAGACAGGACGTTGCCAGGAGTCAGGAGGGAGGTCGAGGCTGGAGGGAGCAGCAGGACGCCCCGGGTGGCCAGTGAGCCGTCGGGGCCCCACCCCGAGGCCCTGGGTGTGCAGAGAAGGGCGCGCTCCTCCGAG